GGCAGAGCCAGCTGTGCCCGCCCCCTCACCCGTCCGTTCCGCCAGTCAGCGCTGGAGGATCTGAGCAGGGAGGGGGGGAATCCCTGCAGGGAGCCGGGAGTGAGTGAGGCTCTCTGCAGGGATATGATCGAGAAGTGAGCGGAGCGACGGTATGTGTTTGCTCACTTCCCGATCTATTGAGCCGACCTGCGACAGTTTCATTGTCACACGTCGGCTCGAACTATGAGGTTGAGTGAAAGTCACTCACCTCATAATTCTCCTTTAAGTGCTCATTTTGCTCCAGGGAAAGGAATAAAAGGAAGGAAGTCCTGGGCTTCCACACCACTTGGTCCACTTTGTCCTTATAGAAGAACAAAAATGGTTCTTTGCAAAATTAGGCCGCCAGTTCGGGCACCCACTTTGGTGAGTTTATGACCTCATTCAGACGGTACGTACACGTCCATGCGGCATGCATGGCCGTAAATGGGCCGATCCCGAGAGGGACAGGTACTACGTGTGATTGCGCACAGCAGCCTGTTCTTCCCAATGGGAGGACATGGCTGTACGTTGTCATACACACACCAGAACTTGTACATCCATGCGGGTCTGCGTGTCCGCACACTGTCTGTATCCAAGTGCGGACACCCACACGTATGTGCAAGTTCAGGTGTGCGTATGACAGCGCACAAACGCGTCCTCCCATAGGGAAGAACAGGTTGCTGCGCAATCACACGTACTGAATGTCTGAATGAGGCCAATGGCTAAAAAAACAACAACCTCGTGGTGGTTTCTGAAGCTCAGAGAGAACCAGATTCAAACCCCACAAAGTCACTGAATGTACTGGGGAGCTTCCATGGAAGACCACCTATATAAAAAGGTCCTAATCAAAGAGGCCAAGAGTCTCTGAAATAGAATAGAAAGGGCAGAATGTCCATTTTTACACTACTTCTCCACTATATGTTTGTTATGCGTTGTCGTTCACACAGCATATCTAAAAAGATTTTTTTTTAACTATATTACTTACCCTTTAGACGTTTCTTTGAAGTAGAAGTAGAAGTTTCTTCTGTGAAGAAGCTTGTTAAGCTTGCAGGCTACTTTGAGCAGCAATGTTTAAATATTTGTTAAGTGTTATGTTATGTGAATGGGAACATATAACAAATATAAAAGTACTGTAGGTGTTATCCCAATTTGGCTGCAGAAGTGGAAATATAATGGAAATATTGTTGAGAACCAAACACTGGTCCAGACCCAGCTGCCAGAAGGAGATGATTTGTCCCGCAGACAAACTTCTGGAGTGGAAACCTCGAGACTCACACCAAGTACGAAAGGCCTTCCAAGTCCAACGATAGAACCTGTGGAATAGGCTTTCTAGTTATTAGCATCATTGGAATCAAAGACTCAAAGATGCCCATTTAACTGCTGTTAAAGCCAGCGACAGAGAAGAAGGATGGCAAATAAACCCTTTAGGCAGAAGATCCTGATGATCTGGTAGTGTCCATGAAGCATCTGCCAGAAGTCTTACCAGGTTGGCTAGGCCAGTCCGAAGAAAAGAAGATCACTGGATCGCCTTCCATCTTGATTCTGGAGAGCAGATGAGGAATACTTTTTAGGGGAGGAAATACATAGATCGGGGTATACAGATTTCAGGGAGACACCAGAAATTGTCCAGTCTGTTGTCAAACCTGGAAGCCATGAGGTCCTCATCTGCAACACAGGCCCTGGAGCACCTCCAGATGCAGGGAACACTTTCCCGAGTTCAGCCATTGCCCAGATAGCAAGGATAACTTGCCACAGGCTTAAATTGTAATTCTTGTTAACTTGCCGCACACATTCCTGGCAAGTTGTAGACTTGCAGAACACTCGCAGCACAAGTTCTAGTTGACACTTTTGGAATTTGAAGCAAATTTGTTTTGCAAGTCTATAGCAAGAGTCCTGCAGGTCTTAGCAAGAGCTCTGCAGGTGTACAGCACTTTTGCAAAGCACGTTGATCTGGAGACTTGCAATGCAGACTCGCTGTAATTGTGCAACAAAATTGTGAAGCTTAGCAAATCTAGCAATAGTTTAGCAAGTCATTTTCAAACTTGCAGCTCAATTGCTTGCTATCTGGGTGGGAGCTGAGAAAATCTGTTTGTCAGAAAGTCACTTTCAGGCAATCCCCACAACCTCTAGGCCAGCTGGGTCCGGACGTGGTACCCCAACAGCCAGGCTGATGATGACCGTGTCAGATAGCTGCACATCAATGGGGAAATCTCCAGCAGCGGTAATGTATACAGAACAGTCTTGATTGAAGAAAAAAAATTAAAAAGAAAAAGGTTTTAGCAAATTAAAAGGTTAGTCCTTACAATGGCAAAGAGAAGACGTCCATCCACGTAGAACAGCTTTTCTCAACCATGGTGCCTTCGAAGGATGGCTTCTGGTATGAAAGGAGGGGGACTCTAGCCCGAGACCAGGGGGGATGCTAGCCCGAAACCAGGGGGGACGCTAGCCCGAAACCAGGGGGGACGCTAGCCCGAGACCAGAAGCATACTAGTAGTAGGAGGGATTATTCTGGACTGGCCTACAGTTTGTTTGTGTTTTTGTTGGGGGGGGGGTTGCCAGTGTGCAGACTTCCTATGACCTACAATGGGTGAAAAAGAAAACACATTTAATAAAAACAGAGCTGCATTAAATGTCTTTTATATCTGCTTGGGTTTCAGCTTTACTTTCACAGAACGCAGCAGGTCGGAGTGAGACTCCCTTGCTCAGCTTTGTGATGGACACAGAAGGGGATGATGTGGGAAGTCTGCCTGAAAAATCCTGCCAAGAGCAGTTGACTCACTCGTGTCTATCCTCTCCCCCGTCCGATTTTAGGTTTGCTGACCTTTTGCGTTCAAAGTGCATCATTTCATTTTTTTTTTTGTCTTTTACGGTGATAAATATATTTTCAATTAGGGCAGAAAATTAAACAGACGCGGAGCGCCGTCCAAACTTTCATTACGCAACACGAGGACGCCTGGCTAGCTCACCCGCTGAAGATTAGAATTTTAAAACATTTCCAACAGAACATAAAGTTTTGTTTAGTGGAGCCAAACTGGAAGTACAGACTGACCGTCCACCAAAGCTTCGCGTCTACGAGCTACGTCTCCAAGATTTAAAAATCTGCCGTTCGTGCAACGCACCTCGATCAATGGGATGCAAACTTTATGCCAGCGTACGACTTTCTTTGGCGGCGCTCACATTAAACCTCGCTTCTATTAATATAATGACACTACTGAGGCGTATGAGGTAAAACATTTCCTCCTAGGCCGGGCAAATAATTTAATGCCGCTGTAATCGCTCTCAGTGCGGCCATTTAACATGCTTCTGACTGCTGCCGGAGTATATAACGAGGGATTAGACAGCCCTGAGCACCTTGCGGGTATCCGGATAAGGTGGAACTACAGATTCCAGCATGCCTTGGTGTCTCGGTAAAGTATCCGCTGTTTTAGGGCATTGGCTTATTTAAAGGGGATGTACACCCCAACAATGCACTTCTCTGATTGGCTCCCTTTTGGTCTGTTAAATACACCATTGAAAGTGTTCTGTGATATCTGTTCGATGAGTCCTGCTGCATTGTCGCTAAAGGTGCCCATACACTGCACGATTCTCGTACGAGAATCGCGGGAAATCCCGCCATCGTACGAGAATCGTGCAGTGTATGGAAGGCTTGCGACCGTTTCTACTGTACGGTCGCACGTCTTCCGTCGAACCAGCATGCTAGAAAACCCGCCGGGAATCGTACGATTCTCGGCGAGTTAGTGGTCTGCTGGTTCGACAACTGGCGAACGGGCCGCTGTGCGCACGCGCACACTGCCCGTTTGCAGTCAACACAAGCCCGCCCCTCATTACAGTCATCGTAAGCCCGCCCAAGATGGGCAGATTGTACGTTTTTTTAAGTACTTTACAACCCTGGCAAGACAAAAGTCTTGCCAGGGTTGTAAAGTGTATGGGCACCTTAAAAGAGTGATTAATCCTTAACTTGGGACTACTGACTGATTAGTCTCTATCAGGGACGGATTTCCATTTTGGACACCTGTAGGCACAAATGGAACTCTGTTTAGCCTGAGCCAGCGCTTTTACCTGCCGCGGGACTCGCCGGCTTCCACATATGCAGAGAAGGCCCCCAGCGTTACGTAAGGCTGTCCTAAACGCCTATCCGCATCAGACGTTGTACAGGGCAGGCTTGCGCAGCGCTGGGGTCCATCCCCTGCGTTTGCAGAAGTTGGCAGTTCCAGTAGGCACCGCTGGTCTTGGAGCAGGAGGGTGCATTTTGTGCAGGATGTACCCTCCTTGCTATTGCCGGTGTTTTATCTTGACACAACACCGGGAATTAGGCAGGAGTAGGCACCTGCATTGCACCCCTCTATGGAGGGCACCTCTAGGCACGTCCATACTCTGCCTAATGGTAAATCCGGCCCTGGTATCTATGTTAAGGGAGGGTTCAAGTAGTTTTGGAAAGACAACTGGGCAGGCCTGACACCACTATGTAAAAATGAGGCGTGTTAACAGCCGACAACAGGCCGTAGAAGCTGAGTGCATTTCTGGCAAGTATTATCTTGTACTTGCAGGGTCTTTATAGGGTAGGGGTCACCTCTGGCTTCAGTGCTTTCTAAATGTGGCCAAACACTGTGTGTGAATGGGAGAATTCTCTCCGTCAGGCTATTGTATTCTGATGGGTGATGGGTGCGCTGCTACTGTCAGAATACCCAAACAGTGACTAGAGCTGATTGGCTCAATAATGTTCAGACCGAACCCTTTGACAAATCGAATGGGGGGTTCTGATGGGGCCAGACGTTCTGATGATGGCAATCAAACTGGGGGATTCTGATGGGTCCACACGTTCTGATGATGACAATCAAACTGGGGGATTCTGATGGGTCCACACGTTCTGATGATGACTTGCCCCCCAAAGAGGTTCTCCAGAGGGTGCCCCGCCCCCTAAGAAGTTCTGCAGAAGCTGTCCCTTTGCACAGAAGACCTGTCATGCATTATTGCCCCCTTACCTAACTTTGGCAGGGTTGGGGTTGCCTTTGGCATTGTTCTTCTTCCTCCTCAGCCTGGGCTCTTTCTGGGCTCGGTGCTCCTCTATGCCTCTGAAGTGTGTTGGGGTGCTGGGCTGGACCCTGCTCTGGGCAGAGGGGGCTAGAGACCTGATGGGGTGCTGCTGCTGGTGGTGCTCCGGGTAACCCAGGAGGAGGTAGACGATCAGCAGCCCCCCCAGGCACAGCACAGCGGCCAGCAGTTTGCCGTGGATCCTCATGATTCCGGGGGGCTGGGGGGGCTCTGAGCCCCGGGGGGAGCCGCTCCGTGCAGCATTGTCAGTGGGAGCCCCGGAGCAGCGGCCAAGGAACCACGTATCCGAGAGTCAGAGCAGGAGGAGGGGGAGGGGAGGGATCCTGCTGGAACTGGCGGAGCTGGAGCTCCCTCTGTCCATTCCGACACATAGGACGTGTGAGCTATGCTTGTCATGGGGAGGAGGGAGGGTAGGGATCATCAGTTTCCACACTGTGCAAGGGGGGAAGGCTCTACACAGACAACCCTGCATTAGCTTTGATCTGAATCAAAACTTGTGATCATCAAACAATATTTTATTATCACTTCTTATTGTGGGAAGAATGTTCAAACTTCATGCAGTCGATGGGATTCGAACCCGCAGCTGCAGGAGAGTTACTTTGTTACAATGGCTCTGAATGTATCAATAGACGTATCTTCAAAGAACAATATTTTTCATTGTTATCATCAGCATAACACTCAACTGCCCCTAATTTAGCTTTCATGTCTTTTTATATAATTTATATTTTTATTTATAAATATTTTTATTATTTATTTATTTCATATTTTATTTATTTTTATGTATTTGAACCCTTTCGCTGCCAAGGCGTTTTGTTTTTCCACACGTGTTATAATCCACATTTTGGGCCTGAAAATTACTTGAACCCCCCGAATTATATATTTCCTGAAAGCACAGACCCTGTACAATAAAATGCTGCAAATTTTTACATCGCATGATATTGGCACAACTCTTAAACCCAAAATGTCAGGAAAAAATACACTTATGTTCATTTTAGTGCACAAAATAAATACATTTTTATATGTTTTTTAATAGAAAATATGCGGTTATGCCGAGTACATAGACACCCAACATGCCAACCTAAAAAATTGTATGCGCCCGTGAAATGGCGACAAAATACGGTACCCAAAATTGTCCCCAGGCTACAAAGCTTGTATAGGTCATTATGTTAGATTTCAAAGAGAACTATGGGGTCAGTGTTTTTCCCCATAGTTCTCTTAAGGGTCACAAAGGACACATACTAGCGTCCTCCCGTGACCCAAAGCTCAGTATATAGCGAGCTATAGCTTGCGGTATACAGAGATATACAGAGACCGCCGCAGCCGGGACGGATCCCGACATTACTGTCCAGATCCACCCAGCTGCATGAGGCAGAGCTATCTAGAGGCAGAGCCAACTGTACCCGCCCCCTCCCCCTTCCGTTCCTCCAGTCAGCGCTGGAGGATCGGAGCGGGGAGGGGGGGGGAATCCCTGTCAGTCACGGCTCTCTACAGAGAGATGATCGAGAAGTGATCAGGCGACAGTATGTGTCTCACCTCATAGTTCTCCTTTAACTGTGAATACCGGGCATAAAATTATTGTTCTCACTCTGGCGCATGCGGTGATACCTAACATGTGTAGCCCAACGGAGGCTTTTGTACATAGGCGCACTCTATGCTTGTTTACAATATTATGAGTGTGGGGGTAGGGGACTTTAAAAAAAAAAATGTTTACATTTATTTTACTTTTAAACCTTTTTTTTTAACCTTCATTGCTATCACATAGGGGGGCTCACAAGTCCCCTGTGAGATAGTATATTAGGTGGTGACAGGTACTCTTTAAGTTGACATTAGGGGTCTATTAGACCCCTAGTGTCACCTTTCCTTTGCAAAGAAGCTATTGAAGGGCACATTGCACTTGAATGGCTTCTTCCTAGGCTTCTCTAGCCAGGAAATTGATGCAATCAGCGTTGCTTCCGGCTCCATTTAGTGGAGAGGAGATCGGAAAATGAATGTATGCTGGTCTCTCTCTCCTCTACCGCTGACACTTGTGATGCCAGTTTTGGGTCACAGGAAGAGCAACAGAGCCAAGGAAGTAAAGCAGGGGTGTATTTACCTGCCCCTGGGGGAGCGCGCTCTTTACCTGCCCCTGGGGGAGCGCGCTCTTTACCTGCCCCTGGGAGGGGGGGGGCACTCTTTACCAGCCCGTGGAAGCGACTTGGCAGCAGCTCAGCCATCAGGCTAGTCTGTTTAGAGGGGCCCACTGCCAGCGACGTATGCCTTACGTCGCTGGCAGCAAAAGGGTTAGGATTGCATATATTTTATATTTATATCAAAGGGGAATTTATCAAAACTGGAGCAGTTGCCCATGACAACCAATCAGCTTCTCTTGTTTTCAAAGCTTAACTGAACAAGCTGATTGGTTGCTATAGACAACTGCTCCAGATTTAGTTTGCTCCAGTTTTGAAAGGGGGTGACACCAGAATGACTGTCACCTGGGTATAAACCGGGTGCCGGCCACCCCCCCCTTGTGACTCCACTGGTTAAACCTCTGCAGAGAGACCACTGCTTCCATACAGAGAGAAAGAGTCCTTTTCTACAGCATTCTGGCAGGAGTCGCTCTTTCCTACTCATCCCGTGTCTGCTTTCTAAAGAAAACGACTGGTAAGACTTTACATGCCTTTTGTTTTAATGCAGATTGAATAATCAACAGGGGGGGTCCCCGCAGGGGCTGCACATGGCTGAAATTCAAGCAGTGTATAGCCAGCTTTCAGGGCTAGTAGGAGGAACCATATACAGTATGGGGACCAGGCATCTGACCCAGAACTGTGAGCAGAAGATTTTTTGGCAGTGGGAGAGTAAAGTTAGAACTCTTAATCTGCAAACAATTGTCAATGACCCAGAATGCTTTGATGCCAATGGATCGGCATCACAGCCCGTGAATTAGCATTTCTGAAAAAAGGAACTCTCTAGTGGCAGACTTTAATCAGAACAAGTTTCCTTTAATTAGAGAAATCTGTTCTCAGCTGTTGGGAAACGTTCTAACGTTCTACTATATTCATTGCGCAACTATCGCTGCAGCCAAAAGAAAAAGAATCACCAACTACCAAGAGCATTTAGAAGATACAGATACGCGCAGTCTAGGGGCTTGTAGGGGTAGAAATGAACGCTCTGGCACGCAAACATACTGTGCAGAGATAAGACAATATCTGGTACAGTATAAATTCATATGGAATTAGGCCACACTTGGCCCTTGCATGACCCGTGAAACCCGAAACAGACTCATAAAAGGGAGGACAATAAAACCCATGAGCAGGCAGGAAGGCCTCCTCCTTGGCTTCACAACAGAAATCTGAACCCCAGAAACATCTGGATTGTTTTGAGTACTTTGGGAACATTTGTAGCTCAGATACGGAGCAGCACCTGTCCCTGACATCCTCCGATCTGTGAGCTTATCACAGTAAGAGGGAAGGCGATACTTTTGTAGGCCATTCATATTTTCTGAGATGGGAAGGAAGAAGATGTTATAATGGCAAACTATTAAGGAAAAGGCTTGTGGCCACCGCACCAACAGTCATATTTAAAGTCCAATTCTAGTGTTAACCCCCAACCCACCAGAATACCACCCAACAGCCCTCCCACAGCTCTCTGTCTGTGCCGCCGCCATCTTCTCCTCAGCTTCTTAATGACCACTGTCTTCTCGGGTTAGCTGTTACATGGTTAGGAGTTACAAGGTCGCACAACCTAGCTCAATTCTCAGCATCTAACAGACTTTTGCCCAACTGGATCGCTCATCACTAGGTATGAGCTCAGGCCACATGGCCAAGAAAGGTCAGTGATGTCACAGTATCCCATCCCTTTGCTTGCATACAGCTTCAGGGTTCGGCAAGAGCTGCTTCCAGGACTGGAGGACCTCCGGCTCAGACCGAATTTGAGCTCCCCCGAATCTGGAGCTGCTACCGAGCCTGGAAGGAGCTCCTACCGAGCCTGGAAAGAAGCTCTTTCTTATGTTCGCAGTTGTACATAAGGAAAGAGACGACCTGAGATCATCCCTACTCACCACTAGGAATGGGCTCAGGTTTGACGCAAACCTGGTCCGAAACTGAACTCCTCTGAACCTGGAAGGAACTCCTATTGGGCCCAGAAGGAAGGTCTTTCTTAAACCTGCAGTTGTACGTAAGCAAATGGATGACTTGAGCTCATCCCTACTCGTCACTAGGGAAGAGTTTGGCTTGGACCGAATGCGGCCCAAACCTGAGATCCTCCGAAACTGGAAGGACAGCATTCCACTACCCAAGCAGCTGCTAGTGGGAAACTCCCTGCCCACAGCTGGACATAAGCAAAGGAACGGGGTGCAGTGACATCATTGACATTATACACTGAGTGGCCAGATTATTATGACCACCCCATCAGTACTTCGTTGGGCCACGAGATGACTCCACGGGATGACTTCGTTGGGCCACGAGATGACTCCACGAGATGTTGAAAGGTGATGCGAGGAATCTGACACGGCACTGTTGCCCTTCTGTTGTCTTGTACCAGTCTTGCCACTCTCCGTTCTGCCCTAACATTGACTATGCAGCACTGCTGCTCCGGCCTCAATCTTTAGGGCCACTGTCTGGTTCCTCCAGACAACGGCAATAACATGCCAATCCTCTCAATATGGTTCGCAAACCCCGCAGCTCCCTGCTGCACTGGCCTCCACTGACTCCAGGGTGGAGCTCTCCTGACTCACAGGTGGGGCCCTGAACACATCCCAGCACACTCTTCATGAGGGATGTACACAGGTGCACAATCAGGTGCTGGTCACTACCAAAACATGGACCCAGGAATGGAGATTTCATCCCACCCAGAGCTCTAAGAAATCTCCTGGCTCCAGGATCCCAACTATGATCCAGAAAACCTGGAAAGAACTGAAAAGGCAGTTCTCTCCTGGTACACGTACTGTCTTCCTGGAGCCACTCAGCCCCTCTGGCTGAGAACCCTGGGTGACTTTGAGGCCACCTAACACCGTGGTATTGCCTCACAATGCCACAGTAGTCATAACAAACTGGCCACTCAGTGTATGGCTACATGGCTATTTTTGGTAAATGTACTTGACCTATTATGGCCATGTGGCCATACAAGGTAAAGGACATCACCACAAGCGTCCCGCCGCTTTGTTTATTTTCAACCGTGGGGCAGTGGATGCCCTAAACCAACGGCTGATTGGGCGGGCGGCCCATGTAGCTTCCGTGTTCGGATAAGCTCAGGTTTGGACCGTGATCAGTCCCAACCTCACTAATTATCAGCAAACTGTTTGGCGCCAAACGAAAAAAAAACTTTATACGTTACAAATATTGATATCTACATGCCACATAGATTCCACCTCATTACAGCTCACTGGTCCATGTGTCGAGGAGAAATTCCCCAGAAGGCCTTTATAAATGGGCTGAATTGATCAAATCAATGTTTCCCATGATGAAAGGCAAACAATCACGTCGACAATTTATAAATATTGTCTGCTAGCCATATCCCTCGATGTTTATGCGCAGGATGCTTTTCTTAGTTATAATCTCTCCCCTAACAAGCAATTCCGAACGACTGAACGTTATTGTGAACCCGGCTGTAAATGATTCCCAGAAGCCTTACAGAAAAACGACTTTGCCGCGCCTCTGCACTCCTGTAACCTGGAGTGAACCTTCTCTGCGGTTTGACATTTCGGCTCTTAAGCAGATTTATTGTCGTGGAGCGCGCGCAATTTTTTTCCCCCTTTTTATTATTCTTCTGGTTGTTTGAAATTAATCTTGAAAATATCAAATCGCAGGATGTAAAATGTGATGCGGGATCACATTCCATGCTCGATGGGAACCGTTATCCTTTTCTTCAATAGATTGTCTTTATTACATATGGTACGTGTTATTGATGGCGGAATGGCACAGCCGCGGGATTAAAGGGGAAGTATTATGTTTTATTGCTGGAAAATAATGGTTGCAGGGCTTTTATTTTGCTGAGTTAAGCAAAGGTACGTCGCTGGCTTGGCCATGTGCCAGTGAAAGATTACATTAAACCTGTGCAAAGAGGTACGCCGTGACCAGTTTTAGTCCTCTTTTGAAATTTGACTTTTCTGGTCGTCATTAGCCTCAGTAGGTTCCTGTGCACTGCCCTGAAACAAGGATACGGTAAGCCAAGTCAGATTAAAGCTGAACTCTGGTCAGCTGATACAAATCTTCTTTTGGTAGCCCCCACCACCATGTAGTATGGGTCTCATTTAGTTAAGGGGGCATGTCATAGACAGAATTAGTCTTGCAGGGTTCCTCTCTGCCAGACAGCCAATCCCAGGAAGCTGCTCCTCTTTCCCACTCCTGTGGCTGCCTTCTAACTGGTGTCATCATGTACAATGCAGGTCCAACAGGCCTGCACTGTACGTGAGGACATCAAGGGTCTATCCACATTTTGTTTTAGGGTGCTATTTTTGGGGTTTGCATTTCTTTTGGAATGTTTGTCATTTTTGTTAGGGCCTTTTTTAAGCTTGTGGTGCTCAAAGCGAAGCATCTACTTGTTACTGTTTCTGGAAGTGCCTTTTGTGTGCACCTTAACCACTTCAGATTAAATTGCTAACATTCACAGTATCCCCTATCCCCAAGGATAAAATAAAAGTGAGGTATATACCTCCCCTCTGCCGATCCCTGCACTGGCTTCCAATAGCCCAAATTATAAACTTCAAAGTATTAACAATGACTTACAAAGCCATCCACAACTCTGCCCACGGCTATATCTCAAACCTTGTCTTTAAGCATCACCCTAACCATCCCCTCCACTCTTCCAAAGATCTCCTGCTTTCCAGCTCCCTCGTCAACTCCTCACATGCTCGCCTCCAGGAATCTCTTCCTCTGCAACTCTGTACCCCAACCTGTCTGTCTATCTACCACTCTAACTGCCTTTAGTTCAACCTAACCACTCAACCATCACGTTCTCAAACAATTCATCTCCACACATCTATCTCCTCATGTATCACTTCCCCCTCCCTTTTAGATTGTAAGCCCTCAGGGGCAGGGCCCTCCTTACCATCCTGCCTTGAATTGCATTGTGATTGTAATGTCTTCCTTACATTGTAAAGCGCTGCGCAAACTGTTGGCGCTATATAAATCCTGTATAATAATGATACCAGTAAGGTGTATTATACCTTAAAAATGTCCTGCTGATAGACAGTTTTATACTCCTGTATCCTCTGAAGTATCTAAATTATTATAGTAAAACCTCATCCTGCGCTCTTTGTCGCTAATACATTTGCGCCTAGCCTTGCTCCTTAAAATTGCCCAGCCGCTGGCCCAGTTTTACACTACTGTATCATTCGCGGCCTCTTAATTCTTATAGTACAGCCCTTGCCTGTACTTTTTGTCTCCAGTACATTTTGGTCCTTTATCCCTCATAAAACTAAAATTGCTATTGGCAAATTTTACACTGCTGTAGCTTCTGAAGTATCTTGAAGTATAGCCCCCGCCTGTTCTCCTTGTCTCCAGTATATTTGGGCCAAGCCTTGCTGTTTAACGTTCTCCTGCTGCTGGCCAAGTTACTGTATCATCTGTACTCTGTTTATTATTAATGAGTGCTTGGCAGAGATTGTCCAGTGGCTGGACAGTTTTGCATCAGCCAAAACAGGGACAGCCACAGCGAACTACTTGCCAATTTCTATCTGCTGGTCAAAGCGGGTCCGGCATGTGTAGCTGCTGAAAAGGATTGGCAGTGCCTAGCTTCCCATGCCAACTAGTCCTTAAAATGGCCCGAATTTTTCCCTCATAGACTTCAATGGAATTCACCTCTAAGTTCCAGGAGCCAAATTATGAACAAGGTTCAATGAACCCTGGTAGGATCGAACCCAGGCAGATTCGCCCATGACTAATTAGACTCTAACTATACCAGCTATAAAACCAAGTTTCGTATCAGTTGACCGGAGTTCAGCTGTAAAGTCACCAATAGTACATACTGGTTTAGGGTCCAACAGCTAGAGCTGAAGAGCTGCAGCTGCAACAGTGAATGGCTCCATTTGTATACCCGCCCCTCCTCTCCCCTCGTCTTATTAACAACAAAACATGTATTTTTGTCACAAGTTGCAAAGGCGTTCTGTGAATGAACCCGGCGAGAGGAGGGACAGACAAATGGCAGGATATCCTCGGGTCTATGCACAGTACACCTTGCACCTTACACTATGTGCTGCCTGAGTTCGGGGAAAGGGGTGGTGGATTTGGAGGTGTTGCACGTTGCTGGGGAGATTGGGGGGGCTGCTGATGCTACTTCTGTGTCCGGCTTTGTACGGCATCCCACCCAGCTCACAGACGTCACTGGTTGCCAGGAGCTGGGCAGGACACTAGCCAGAATGTCCCACTTAGCTCCTGGCAACCAGTGACGTTGGTGAGCTGGGCGGGACACCGGTATGAACATCACAGGCTGCTAAAAGCTGTTAGCGACCTAGCACGCTCTGCCTGGAAAGGGGGCAACAGGTCCCAATGTGATCCAATGGTCAGTCCTGCCTTGCACAATGTAAAAAATGGGTTGTGCAACGCACCTAAACTGCACTGAAAAAGTACATGCACCTTTTTTTTAAATGGCATCATCACACCACCTTGCATGGTAGTAAGTACAACCCACATGCGATGGCTAGGTGCATTTGGGTGTCATCAGGAAATAATGGCACGGCACTGCACCTAACATTGCAACATGCGGGGTGGGATTGCATGCGGGATGGCAAGCGCTCCTGCATCATAAAGTAGAATGTGTGTGAATGGACGCATAGGGTATAAGTCATTGTTGCCCGTGGCAACCAATCAATTTGCATCTTCAATTAAAAAAAACACATTCCATAAAGTGTCATCCTCTTTTCCTCTCCTTTGATCTCCATCTCTTCTGTCCTCCAGTTCTACTTTGTTGCAAATGCCTGTGCTTAAAATCTCCTATTAACGCCCATTCTGCGCCCTCTTAGCCCCTCCATTCTTGTGCATGGAGCAGGAGCACCCACAACGTGCCCGTAGGTTTGCCCATTTCCAGTCGGTTCTTGCTGTCCGTCATGTGAACAAAACGAAGGTACCGTTCGCTAGAGATTCGCTACAATATATCGCCGAAGAATATTCTATTCCTGTCCCCATGGAAACCACAAAGCCGGGCAAACCGTCCACCCTCTAGTCCCGCCCCTCCTTCCTTAGCCAATCACAGCATAACAGGAGGTGTGGCCTGATGTCACTCAGCCTCGACCAATCCTTTCTCGAGTTTTCCTGTAACCGTGTGTGATTGGTAGAGAGGCGGGAGCAGCCGAGGGACCTTGCCCAATCAGATGAATCGTTTAGCTCTCGTTTCTTAACACGTGCAGTCCCGGAAGTAGGATACATTCTGCATCGCATGTGAGACGCGCCTGTCTCGGGTGAGGTGTGAGTTTGTTTTTTTTCACGCTGGTTCCATCAATAATGAGATTCTGCGATGGGATATGTTATGTCTGGCATGGATCTGTGTGCGGAGAACATTTAAAGAAGAACTATGGGCAAAGTCTGTATTAACCCTTGCAGTGGGGCTATCACCGAAGTGCAAGGATTAAGTGATTGTTTTGGTCTAGGGAGGAAAATAAAAAGTTATACTTACTCCATCGGTTTGCTCTTAGACCGTTCCTTCCAGCTTCGCTCCCCCTCTGCTGCAGTGTCTAAGGTCCCTGCATCATCACACAGTGTATAGGATGTGAGAATGCTCCTACACCATTGCTGCAGTGTAGGAGGAGCCAGGCTGGAGGGAGAGCTGTCACAGCCGCCTGGTTCTCTGGATCGGGTGCGTATAACTTTGTTATATTCCCACCTAGACCTAAATGAGCAGTTAAAGGAGAACTATGAGGTAAGTGAAAATCGCTTGTTGACTCAATAGATCGGGAAGTGAGGGAACACATACCATCGCTCGCTCACTTCTCGATCCTGTCCCTGCAGAGAGCTGTGACTGTCACTCACGGCTCCCTGCAGGGATTCCCCCCTCCCCTGTCCGAACGTTGACTGGCGGAACGGATGGGGGAGGGGGCGGGTACAGCTGGCTCTGCCTCTAGATAGGCAGAGCCAGCTGTCAATCACGCAGCTCGGTGGATCTCGACAGTAATGTCGGGAACCGTCCTGGCTGCGGCGGTCTCAGGTATACTGAGCTTTGGGTCACGGGAGGACGCTAGTTTGTGTCCTCCCGTGACCCTGAGGAGAACTATGGGGAAAAGCCCTGACCCTATAGTTCTCCTTTTAACGCTTGCAGTGCTGGGGTAGCCCCACCAGTTCTTATTTGCATCGCCATCAAAATGTGCCGCTATGGCTGCGACAAATTCAAAAAGAATTACCGCCGGCTTGTAGATAATGAAAGCGGGGATAATTAAGACCAACTCTCAGTTGGTGCACAGAGACAGGCCAGTGCTCAGAATGATGACACATCTTTTTCGCCCTGAGGAAGGGACACTGTGTGGCCCCGAAACGTTGGCATTTGTTGTTGTGACGATCTGTCCAATTAAATGGACATATTGAATGGTAGTACTGAGTACTGGTGATCCTTGTCTTCTGCCTTGTATCTGCACGGCGCCATCCGTGGTCATCACTGCGAGCACCACTGTTGCATAGGCCGGGAACGTTGTGAGGTGTGCGGAGGGTTCTCCCATCTAACTACATGGAATACAGTGAGTTATTTTTCTCTCTCATGGGTCTAGATTGATGTTCAGGTTGTTGTACAGATACTGCCATCTTTATACTTATACCATCATTTCCTTTGCTGTTGACTGATACGCATTGCATTGTTTTCTAGGGTGACTCAGTATGATCACTCCGGCTTTCGACATCAGCCAGGATGCAGACTTCCTTACTATCACCATCAAAGTTCCCTATGCCCGGGTGTCGGAATTGGATATCTACATTGACGGAGACGACTTCAAATTCTACGCCAAGCCTTACTTTCTCAGGTGACATTGTAAACAGCACAGTGGTGTAGTGGTTAGTGGGGGTCCCTGGTTCGAATCCTTGTCAGGACACTACATGGAGTTGGCATGTTCTCCCTGTGCTTGTGTGGGTTTTCTCCCATACTCCAAAGACATGCTGGAAGGTTAATTGGCTCCTGTCTAAATTGGCCCTGTATGTATGCATGTGAGATAGGGACCTTAGATTGTAAGCTCCTTGAGGGCAGGGACTGATGTGAATGTGCCCTGCAGCAATTACAATGCAGCACCTGTCTCTTCCACGATCAGGTTTTCTTTTTTGGGTGTGCAGGCCGTGCGGACGTGTACGCCCATCTGAATGAGCCCTTAGCAATTACCCTAAGCAATTACGCCAGTACAGTGCTATTTGGCCTCTTACACCATCATGAGCCTTGATGAAGGGGGAATGATAAGCACCTGAAACGTGTTGGCTGTCTGTGATTTTATGCTGCCTTCATCTTTCTACTGCGCTGGTTTAATATAAAAATGACAGTGCGATTCTTCTGCTAACATAATGTTACCTCTGTGTGCAGATTGACCCTGCCGGGCAGAATTGTGGAGGATGGGAGACAGAAAGCCACATATAATGCTGATGATGGTAAGATCATTTCACAATAATCCTAGCAGGTTTCTATTTGATATTATCAATGTATACGCTGTTATGTCCACGCTTGTGATCAGCATAACATTCTTATCAGGGGCTCTACAAAACTCTCAGCTTTCTAATTAGTATTAATCAGCTGTTTTGTTCTGTGAGGCAATTACATCAGGGGTAGTCAAACCTCGGCACCCCAGCTGGGCTGAAACTGGGCTGAGAGATAGCCGGGGAGTGAGCGAGGAGAGACAGCCAGGGGAGTGAGCGAGGAGAGACGGCCAGGGGAGTGAGCGAGGAGAGACGGCCAGGGGAGAGAGCGAGGAGGGGCGGCCAGGGGAGAGAGCGAGGAGAGACGGCCAGGGGAGAGAGCGAGGAGAGACGGCCAGGGGAGAGAGCGAGGAGAGACGGCCAGGGGAGAGAGCGAGGAGAGACGGCCAGGGGAGAGAGCGAGGAGAGACGGCCAGGGGAGAGAGCGAGGAGAGACGGCCAGGGGAGAGAGCGAGGAGAGACGGCCAGGGGAGAGAGCGAGGAGAGACGGCCAGGGGAGAGAGCGAGGAGAGACGGCCAGGGGAGAGAGCGAGGAGAGACGGCCAGGGGAGAGAGCGAGGAGAGACGGCCAGGGGAGAGAGCGAGGAGAGACGGCCAGGGGAGAGAGCGAGGAGAGACGGCCAGGGGAGAGAGCGAGGAGAGACGGCCAGGGGAGAGAGCGAGGAGAGACGGCCAGGGGAGAGAGCGAGAAGAGACGGCCAGAGGAGAGAGCGAGAAGAGACGGCCAGAGGAGAGACGGCCAGAGGAGAGAGCGAGGAGACATAGCCAGGGAGAGAGCGAGGAGAGATAGCCGGGAAAGACAGTCAGGAGGATGAGCCAGGAGAAAGCGCAAGGGAGGTGTTTTCTTTTTGTTGGTAGATCTCATTGAGCTCATCATTTGAAAAGTGGATCTTCACACAAACAATTGTGGCCACCCCTGTGTAAAACTGTATTTTATTTAAAAAAAAAAAAGCAGTTAACTTTATGGTTGAAAAGTAGTCCTTGAGCTCCAGCCAAGGGATTTTCCTAGGCTGAGATGATACAATTAGTCTGCTGCAGGCATGTGAAACATTTCCTCAGTCTCCTATCCCTCAGTCATTCAGTCATCAGATTGTAAATTTAGCAATTCATAACGTGAAAAGGTGCAGCAGGGGCTGATTTGTTTCAGACATTTCTGAACACAGCCAAGACCCGCCCAGGCACAAGGGTTTATGTCGTTGAGCCTGTCAACTGGCATTTCAGTCTAGGAAGTAGATGCTTATTCTGGATGATGACTGAACAAAGATGACAATAAAAGCTGATGAATACATTGTCAGGGGGAGTGCTGTGTTTCCTGCGAGAGGTCTATAAAGTAATGCAGTAATGCTATTAGCAAAGTTTGTAAGGGGGGGGGGTTTGCCTGGCGGGTTTATGCTGCTGAGGATGGTATAATGGACAGGAGTTTTGCGCCAATTGTAGACAAATGTCGCCACCCATACCAATGTGGACTTTCCATCCTTAGATTGGAGCACTCCCCATTGATAATACCTGTATGTCCTGCTGGAAGAACCCTCAGGAATTCCATCTGTTTTGGATACATATGGTTTTAGGCTCATCCTTTCAAGTCCTGCTTACCAGTATGTTGTGTTGTTCCCATCTTAGGGGTATTCACTGTCCGAGTGCCTAAAGAGACCCCAGGACAGAATTTTGAAGGCCTAAATTTGCTGACTTCCCTATTGGCACCAAAAGGAGTTCGAACAGCTAAACACCTTGTGGAAGAAATAGGTGAGACATTCAATACTCCCTTTTATCTGTCTCTTAAAGAGGATTCCAGGTTTTATGGATCTGATTTAAACCTCTGTGCAGCAACACAAAGGGGGCCGTTGGCTTCCAGGGTCCGGGAGAGCTGTGATACGAAATTCTGATGAACACGACAATGAAGTGACTACGTTTGTTCCCCATGGTCAGGGCTGGATTTGCCACAAGGTCACACAGGGCCGGCCTTGGGGCGGCAGGGAGCAGAGGGGCGGCAGCTGTGTGGAATCTCCCGAAGCCCGGGACATGCAGTTCCGGGCACCGGGCGGTAAGTTGTTTGCCACATGTAGTGTGAGGAAGCCACTTGTTTGTTTACAAGTGATCTCGGCGATGTCGCCGAGAACACTTGTAATTAGACTGCAGCCTGTCCGTCCTCCCCAAGCCCCCCCGCGCCTACCTCTCCTCGCTGGCTTTGTCCTCGCGGCTCCGTTCTCTCGCTGGCTCCATCCTCTCTGCTCCATCCTCCCCCCGCCGTCAAATAACATCTCCTCGCTGGCCGCCAATGTCTTCAGGATGTAGAGCAGGTGCCAGAGCGGCAGGGGTAAAAGTAACCCTGCCGCTCTGTGTAAACAGTGAGAGGGGGAGAGCTGTCTTCCTCTCTCATCTGTCACAGGAGTTCCAGCACAGTGCTGGGCTAGAACTCCTATATTAGAGGTGAGTATAATAAAAAAAAGTAAAATAAAAATTATAAAAAAAATACAATTTAAAAATGAAATAAAAGTTAAAGATAAGATAAATAAAAAGTAAAAAATAAATAGAAAGAAACAATAAAAAAAATTAAAATGAACACTGCTGCCCTCGCCATCCGGAATGTCATTCTCCATTGGAGGGGCATTGAGGTACCTGACCCTGGGGTAGTAGGGAGAGTAAATCCGGCCCTGCCCATGGTCCATGTGTGTGTTGTAAAGTAGTCACCACTTCAAGCTCACTCCGGTGATGGACTACAATCTCATGTTCAGTTTACTAATTTGTATTGAGATTGTAGTCCATCACGGGAGTTAGCTTGGAGCGGTGACTACTGTACAACACACACACAGGGAACATGGAGAACACAAGTAGCTACCCTCCAGAAGGAAGGACAGTGTCAGCACCAATTCAGAGATGATTTGAGGATCTACAGCCAAGTGATATACAAATAAGTGTTAATAGTTATGGTACTTGAATTTATTTTTAAGATTGAACTCCTGAGTTTGGTGTCACTTTAAGATATCTGTTCATTGCACAGAAAAAGGACTCTGGAATTCTGACACGATCAACGGGAATCTTACTATACCTGTAAAGTACCTGCCTGAAAAAAGCTGCATTACATGACATTCTTGTTCCTGGGTTTTGATATCCTTCAATTGAAAGCTGCAAAACCCTTTCTAGAGGAGAACCTCACGTAGGTCAGGCTGAGATGCATTTTCATTGCCGTATGTTTGACCTTTTCATACGTATTCCCTGTTTGGAGCAGGTTGAGTGACATATTGTAAGAGATGCTGGCAACACGTACACCATTGGGACACTAGTCTCCCAGGGCTAATATCTACTTCCTGATGGTATAAAGGCTGCGAGTGGAAGCAATGACAGTGATTCATGCGTTAAATGGCCGGGCACGACTATAGGACCTCTGAGAGACACGCTTACTGTAATTTCCTGCCTGGAGGGCTCTTGTCATGGTCCCTGAGGGGGAGCCATAACCCACAGGAATAATTCAGGTACTCAGACCACAATCCTCCTGCTTGACACACATAGCGGGAATGCAGGAGGCAGAGCAGGCAGCGACAAAATAGATCTCTGAGCGTTATTCGAGGGAGTCTGTGCTTTGTTCACTGCACAAGGTGAAAATAATTCCATTGACACTTCCTGTGAACTTGTAGAATTTGTCCAGATGTATAGCTGGATTTAAAACCTTACCTTTAGGAGTCCATTTATAACCGAGAATGGATCTTGCTATCTGCACTCTGTTGTACGGCACAGTATTTTTCCATACCGTGCCCTTCATTTTGCGGCTCATTCCTGAAATGCAGGGCTCGTGATCCTTTGGAGTTCTCTTTGCTCGATGGGGACCCTGTCATCAGACAATTAATTTTAACATCAACCTTTCCATAAGATTTCATGTGCATTCAACATGTTTAAGGTATTTTATTTACCTGTAAATGCCTCCCTGATGTCAACATCCAAAATCTCAGAGACTGCTGTTGTGTGCTGCCATCTTGGATGTGATGTCAGCTGACGGGGAGTTGTCACTCAAGTAGGTAGGCAAACTCCAGCCCCCCCATCTGTGATGCAACTACAAGTCCCATGAGGCATTGCAAGACTCCTTAGCCAGCCATAGGCATGACCCCCAGCAGCAGATGCATGATCGGATTTCTACTTTCACCACAGTTGGAGTGCCAGAGTTTGTCTACCCCATTCCTATAATAATCCCCTTTGCTCCTCCCCTTGCTGCTTCATATAATGTTATGTAAGGAGGGGAGGGGTGGAGGAGCTGGGCCAACACAAATGGTAATTAGACACTCATAGAATAGAAGAGGGCTGTGACATGCCAGGGGTTGGGGCTATGCTAGGGAATCGACTCTTTGGAACTAGTTCAAATTTGCCAGCGAGCTCAGAGGCACATTACTGGTGTATAAATAAATTATTTATGGAAAGGAAACATTCTGCAAGTAAACATTTAGAATACTTGATTTGTTTCTGTGCTTTTACCTGCAATTTGTTAGGTTGGTGACAAGTTCTCTTTTAACACAGCAGAAAGAGCTCTCTGGAGGAGAGCCGGTCTTGTGACTTTGGCAGGCTAGCTTCCATTTAGAAGTTAAAAATAATAAACAGAATACTTTCCTTTAGTAGAGTAGGAGAAGGTTAGAATCGGACTTTTATTGCTGTCTGTGTTGGTGTTGCATATTTTCCCTCACTTCCTGTCTAGAGGAAGTTGTCAGCAGGACAGGAAGTGAGCATACATTTCTCTAATCGAGCCCCAGGTAGCAGTAGATACCAAACAGAGGTTCTAATCCTTCCCCACTCTATCCAAAACTAGAAAACATTTCTGGTTTGATATACACTTTAAAGTAGGAATGCACCGATACCGAGTATTTGGGGGAGTCAACAATCGAGGAGGCGGGTCATTACTCGCCACCCGGCTTCCTGATTGCCTGGGAAGCCGGCTCCATGCTGATTGCCTGGGAAACAGGGCAAACATGGGCTCGGCTTTCCCGGAAAATCAGGAAGCCGGACGGCGTGTCATTACCTGCTGCCCGGCTTCCTGATTGCCCAGGAAGCCGGCTCCATGCCAGCGGAAGCACCAGTGTCGGTACTCGATGTCAGCAAGTACAGACGGCAAAATATCGGTACTCGTACTCGATACCGAAAAACCAGTATCGGTGCATCCCTACTTTTTAAAGTATACGTAAAGCATTTTTTTTTCTTTTGCTGTGTTCTTATTGGGGAGATTTCTCTATACTTCCTGTCTTGGGGACACAATAGAATCTTGAAGGAAATATCCAAAGTAAGGGGGGAAATCTCCCCTTAGACAGCTGTCATCAGAAACAGTGCCCCTGTTGGAAGATTTCCCCTCACCTCCTCTTCTGGTGACAACTCTAACATTTTGCCTCTCCAACCACTTTCTGTCCCGCCAACAATGATCAGCAGGACAATTAAACACCAAAACAAGTTTTTGTTTTCAAATCTTGTTTTTTGAGCTATTCAAATCACAAATGTTTTCTGTTTTCTTCTCATTTGGGTTGACCTTTTAGGAGCTTCAAATGAGATCCCGGAAGATGACGATGAAGACTTTGATTGGCAGATCGAACAGACACCTTATGAGGAGTCGCCCTCTGATGAGCTCGGCTCCCAATGCACCTACGGTTTTGGAAATTTGCGAGTTGGAGTCTTCGGACGACTGCAGGTGCGTTTTCTGTATCTCTTGCAGAGATAATATCCGTTTGCTAATCGTTTCTCAAAGTGGTCAGGGATGTAACACCAAGTTGGACAAATCCTTTTCAAATTGGCAAGCAAGAAAAGCAACACAACAGCCATGAAATGACTTCCATGCTCCGCTACAACTGCCAGGGATGCTGAGAAAACGCTCTGATGGGACTTGTGGAAATGTGTGGTGCAGAAGAAGGCAACTTCGGCGCTCCAGCTGTGATGAAATGACAAATGCCTCTGCGAGTCATGCCTGTGGCTGTCAGTCTTGCAATGCCTCCTGGGACTTGTAGTTTCACAACAGCTGGAGTTTTAAGGTTGCCTCACCTTTGTGTAATGTTAGGGTTATTATATCACTTTGGACATTCAGGGCAACGTGACTGTGTGTGCTTCTCTTAACCAGCTATTATTAACTGAGACTTGCCTTCCCCTTGCTCCCCCACAGCTCCATTTGTCTTTCAGAGCTCTGGGTAATGTAAGCTCAGTGACTTAAGCTCAATTGAACTTTCATAAATCAGCTAAATGCGTTTTGTGCATCAAAGCAAAAAGTCTCTTAAGTCTTACAGTTCATTTTTCTACTTGGCTGCCACAGCCTGAAGAAGAAACGCCGGTCCTCAGCCAGCATGCTGTAGAGAAGGACTCTTCGTGTCTATGCGATGTCTCTCTGCAGAGGTCACATACACCTCATGCTGACTCATGCCTATAACTTTGCAATCAACAAAACTCATGCTCCCTGCTAATTGGAGAGCTCTGACCCGAGTGTTTTGGTGACCTCTGCAGTGGGACCACTGATTTCACAAAGAGAGAACAGGTCCTTCTCTGTAGAACGCTGGCAGGGGATAGGCTTTTCTAAAGAAAAAAAAATTGTAAGTCATTGCACACCTTTTTATGCACTGGAATGTATTAAAGTAGAACCCCGGGGCGGGGGGGGGGGGGGGGTGACTATTACCCTTGCAGTGGGGCTGCCCCAGAACTGCAAGGGTTAAGTGCTCATTTATGTCTAGGTCAGGGGTAGGCAACCTTGGCTCTCCAGCTGTGCTGAAACTACAAATCCCATCATGCTTCTGCCTCTGCAGAAGAGCCAAGATTGCCTACCGCTGGTCTAGGTGCTAAAAAAAAGTTATACTCACCAGACCATCTGAGCTGGTGTCTAGAACGTCTCTCCTCCTCTGCTGCAGCGGTCTAAGGATCCTGGTGTCATCATGCTCTATACACTGTGCATAGATTATAGTGTATAGATGTGAGGACACAAAGGAGTAGTCCATATGTGCAGCGTAGAAGGAGACACGCTTCAGTGATCACAGAAGCAGGGAGCCGGCTTGGATGGTCTAGTGCAGGGGTAGCCAAACTCCGGCCCTCCAGCTGTGGGGAAACTACAAATCCCATGATGCATCTCTCTCAGGGAGTCGTGGCTGTGAGAATCTTGCAGCCACGACTCCCTGAGAGAGATGCATCATGGGATTTGTAGTTCACCACAGCTGGAGGGCCAGAGTTTGGCTACCCCTGGTCTAGTGAGTATAACTTTTTTTTTTTAGCACCTAGACGAAAACTAGCACTCAACCCTTGCAGTGTTGGTTATCCTGGGGGTGGGGTAGCCTTACTGCAGGGATTAATTAAATATTGTCCAGGATTTAAACGGAACTTTAATGACTTTCTACCACGCTACAGACCTGCTCAGTGAGTTCCTGCACTGTTCTCATCAGCCCATTGCATCGACTAGTCATTGGTTTTTTCTTATTTACTTGTCAGGTGAAAGAGACTTAGCCGACCCGTCAAGGGTTCATTAAACTCAGTGGGCTTGCACAAAGCATTCATCATTTACTGCAAGAAAAGACTAAAGCGTTCTAGCAGCACCAACAATTCAAATAAAATGGTGTGATTACATTGACAAAGACATTGCAGCGCCCCTAGTGGTCAGTTACAGAACAGGTCTTTGTACTTCTCTTTTATCCGGTGTCAGGCTTATTCCATCGCAGTATTACAGTGAGTGAGCAGCTTGCCTTTTAAATACTAAAATATCTTCTCTCCTGAGGGATTACGCTGGCACGATATCAGATGCAATTTAAAAGATAAGTTCACCAAAACCTTCTGAAAGTTTTCATATAATAGCAGAATAGTTGAATATTATTATTATTATGATGTTCATTGACTATCTGACACTTGTGTAATATTTGATTTGTGAATCAGTTTGATGAAGATTTTGCCATTATGCTAAAATTTTGTTTGTCAAAACTGGTTATGATCAGAGCTACCTTCCATAGAAGCACCTGGTGTGAGTGTTGGTGGGGTGTTAGAGTTTGCTGCAGTAGCTGCAAAGCTATTGGAAAGGAAAATATTAAAGCATTGTCCCCAAACTCTGACCTATCCTTTTCTGTTAAGAAAAGTCTACTTGAACCCTAACACTTGTTATTCCTTACATCTAGTCCTTAACACTTCACCCGACCCCAACACCTAAAGGAGAACTATGAGGTGAGTGCTTTTCACTCACCTCATAGTTCTAGCCGACCTGTGACAATGAGACTGTCACAGGTCGGCTCAGTAGATCGGGAGGTGAGCGAACATATACCGGCGTTCACTCACCTCTCGATCCTGTTACGGCTCTCTGCCGTGACAGGGGAGGGGCTGGATTCCCCCTCTCCGCTCCGATCCGCCAGCGCTGACTGGCGGAACGGACGGGGGAGGGGGCGGGTACAGCTGGCTCTGCCTCTAGATAGGCAGAGTCAGCTGTTACTCACGCAGCTGGGCGGATCTCGACATCGATGTCGGGATCCGCTCCGGCGGGGGCGTCTCAGTATACCGCGAGCTGTAGCTCGCGGTATACTGAGCTTAGGGTAACGGGAGGACGCTAGTTTGTGTCCTCCCGTTACCCTAAGGAGAACTATGGGGAAAAGCCCTGACCCCATAGTTCTCCTTTAATCTATAACTTGACGCCATTAACCCAAACTCTAACCCTTGCACACTAACTATATTCCTTGACCAACACCAATGAACTTCCTTATCCAGACCCAAACCGTCTGAGCCTACCTGTCCCAAAATGAGCATGGAAAACTACTGATTGACAGTGCTGGTCTTCTAGTGTTCTTTTTAGAACCTCATCATTACCTCTTTTCTGTACAAAGCTCGCCTTTAACTTCCCTTATTGCTCCTCATAAAGCAATGTCCTTTTTGCTACAGACCTTGAAGGTAACCTATGATGAGTGACCCATGGGGACAGTAATTGCTCATTTCCTTCTCAGTAATACTAGTTGAGGTTCATATTGTTCCTCCACTGACCAAGAACATAACTACAGATCAGGAGTTGTGTCTTCACAAGTCAAGTAGGTGACCAGCATTGTTCAGAAGGTGATCAGATCAGGGCTTTACTTGATCGTAAACCTGAAGGCATTATACATGACTTCAAATGATGCTCATGTTAAAAAGCAGGTGCTCAAAGATCTCAGCAACCTGCATTGGTCCTCCCACACCTGCTGTTGGAGGCCGCCCATCATGGATGATGGCCCAATGAAGCCGGCTAGATTGAGAGGAATGCCGGCAGGTACCAGCAGCTTCCCAAACCAGGAGATATGCAAATGTAGTCTTTGTAAAAATCGGAGCAGAGGAACATCTCATCCTGAATCCCACATAGCAATGCCTGGGCCTCAGGCAGCAGACCTGGCACTGATACAGCACTGAGAGTGTGTCAATGTTTCCATTATCTGGGAGCTGGTGTTTGCATAGGCAGTTTGGGGGTGCTCCCTGGACACGCTGGAGACCCGTTTTTTGAACCTATCTGTATCTACAGGCATTGGACAATTGTCATCTGTTGTAAGGTTGCATTGTAAGATTGGACAGTCTGGTAACTATTGCCAAAAATAATGATGTGGAACAGCGATATGTTGGTGACATGTTCTAAAAAGTGTACGGGTCGGGAGACTCTCAGCTGAGTGTCAGGCGAATTGCTTTTCTCAACACCGGTTAAAGTAACCTTGCCACATGGAATCCACACATCCTTTAGGCCCAGGATAGCCAACCTTCAGCCCTCTAGCTGTGGTGGAACTACAAGTCGCAGGCCTGTGGCTGTTAGAGTCCTGCACTGCCTTGTAGTTCCACAACAGCTGCTCTGAAGTTCGGCTACCCCTGTTCTAGGCTGAGAACTCAACCAAGCTTTGATACATCAGTCCAAGAAGTATCAGAAGGTGAAGGTCTACACTAGGGGCATGCAACCTCGGTTCTCTAGCTTTTGTGGAACTTCAAGTCCTATGAGGCACTGCAAGACTCTGAGAGCCATAGGCATGACTAGCAGATGCATGGTGTAGTTTCACCACAGTCGGAGCACCAAGGTTGCCTATCTCTGGTCTATACAGAAAGGATACCAGCTTATGGAACTTCGTCTGTACATACATAAAGAAATGTTGCTGTTATCTTATAGAGTCACATATAAGAGGATAATACATTTGACAGGTCCTCTTTAAAAAAAAATAATAATAATAATGAATGATGTGACGCTAGGCTTGCAATATTGGCAAAAGCTCCAGCAGTTGCTTTTCCTTTGTCATTTTAACAGTCATATAATTTATTGGGGGATGTTTAGGAAAGAGCGTCAACATCAGATTGTGTGTCCATGCGATCCCCAAATGCTCCTCCTGTTATTGTGCCGCCTCGTGGTGTTGCCTTTGTGCACATAATCGTTCACCTCTCCCAGCCCTTTGTGTTCCCACCTGTGTCACGCACTTCCCTGTGCTCTTTCAGGAAGAACTGAATGATGTTATTGACTTGAGAGACCCTGACGTCACCCCGGCGGCGGAACGCACACGCAGGCGCCTGGAAGCTGAAAAGGCCAAGTTTGACCCCGATCATTACCTGTAAGTGCCTTTTAATGTCTGTGAGACAGCCGCTTCCCCAGTAGGATTGACATCACTTTCTGTCTGCCTCTGGATCTCTTCCTTTCAAAGCTCCGCTCTTCCACTTTGCTGCTTTTTGTTTTTTCTTTTCTTTTTATCCATTTGGATGTTCTCTGGCGGTTACAGAGAACGCTGATTCCGTATCACAGGCCATCACAAAAAAAAAATCTTGTACATTTTCAAATGGACATTTCATAACAGGAACATAACATTAGTTCTCCTCTTCTCTCATTTTCTTCAGCTCTCTTTTTTTTTTTCCCCCTGGCTATTTCTTACACATGTTTCTTCCGCCTCTATGATTGATGTGCTCAGTTGACCATACACATATATCTATAGATGTCCCCCATCTGAATGGGGGACTCATCCCAGCCGCCTATTGTATTCTGACAGGCAGCACCTGAAGCTATCTGAATCCCTGAACAGTAATCTGATTGGTTGCGGTCACCGTTTGGCCATTTTTCATCCAGCTCTTTCAGTCTGCGGTTCAAAGTTTGTCGAGCTGACAGAGCCACCTATGGATTGGATTTCAGCTCACTGAGCAAGAATTGGCCAGACATTCAATGTGGCTAGCTTTAAACAGGCCATACACTGCTTATACTCAATACTACTTATTTTCAAGGAGCCACTCTGAAAATGATCAGCCAAACATTGATTGCATCCAATCAGCTGCAGTTACTGTTTTGGTATTCTGACAGCTGCGGGTGCTGGCTGTCAGAATAACAATAGCTGGCAGGGAAGATTCACCCATCCGCACACTTTAGTGTGCATAGGGGAACCGAAAATGTTTTCTCAGTCAGCCCGCTTTACTCCCACCTTCTATTACGTACTTCCTACTCTCCTGCCCCCTCCCTAGGATATGGTTAGGGGTAACGGATAATTATGAAGGGAATAGGTGAGTCCAGAAGTGTTATCTGGGTGAGGCATAATATATTATTTCTCTCTCATTCTGCCTCCATCCCCTTGTTCTCACTCATTTCATCCTTTATTCTGACACTTTCAATCCATTCCTTTTTTTTTTTTCTTTTCCCCCCTCGTTAGCCTCAATAAAGAGATACTGTTTGTAAACATTAAGGTGTGCTGGCAACACAATCGACATCTGTATCTATGATCCCATAGCGTGTGCCGGTCACTACAGCGCCCTATACATAAGGTCTAATACCAGTATGGTGCGCAATAAAACATTGTAAACATCTTCCTCACCCCCATCTGTTCTCCCTTCCTCTCCCTTCCTCTCACTATTCTGTATCTCTTCTGCATTTCCCTTCTCTTCCCTTATTCTGTCCTTCTCAACCCTTTCTCTGCTGTCTGCTTTATTCTTTCTATATTTACTTCTTTTTTTCCCATGTCTTCTCTGTCTCTCTCGCACGCTCTTTCTCTTTCTGTCTCCGTCTCTCTCTCTCGCTCTCTCTCTCTCGCTCTCTTTGTCTTTCTGTCTCTATCTCTCCCTTTCTCTTTTTCTCTCTCTCTCTCTTTCTTTGTCTGTCTCCATCTGTCTCCTATCTCTCGCTCTCTTTGTCTCTCTTTCTCTTGCGCACTCTTTGTGTGTCTCTCTCGCTCTCTCTTTTGCGCTCTCTCTGTCTGTCTCTCACTGTCTCTTGCACACTCTCTCTTTTTGTCTCATGCACACTCTCTCTTTCTGTCTCATGCCCTCTCTCTCTCTCTTTCTGTCTCATGCCCTCTCTCTCTTTCTGTCTCATGCCCTCGCTCTCTTTCTGTCTCATGCCCTCGCTCTCTTTCTGTCTCTCTTGCTCTCGCTCTCCTTCTGTCTCTTGCGCTCTTTCTCTTTCTTTTTGCCTCTCTTGCGCGCGCTCTCTCTCTCTCTCTCTCTCTCTCTCTCTCTCTCTCTCTCTCTCTCTCTCTCTTTTCTCCTTTTCTCACCCTTCCACCTTCCTTCTCTCTCCTACTTATTTCTCACTCCTCTGTTTCTGGTGTCATGCTTTCCTGTATGTCCTCCCGTCTCCCTCGGTCCCGGCACTGTTACTCCAACGTGTTTACTGCTCGTCATCTTTATTATACACCGTCACCTTTACTTGGTCCATTTCCTCCATTTTCGGTGATCTTTTTGTTTTCCTATCCCCCCCCCCATCTCCATCCAGTGTCTTTTCTTCTTTCCAGTCCTTTCATTGTTCTCCGTGTCACTATGGCTACAGTGCTCAGCATCGTGCAGTATATATCTAGTACCTTGCAGAGTGTTGTGTTCATACATCACTCGCTGAGCTCCAGCCTGGCTCCGCCAACCCGCACGACTGTCTGACTCACTTTAATCTGCTTGATGGACACTGGAGGAATTCTCCTCGTCTGCTGGTGACATCATTCACTCATCCCGCAGCCGGCGCTGACTGCCTTGTCTCCTCCATCTGTTCATCTTTCCTTTTTCATTGTTTTGTTTTTTATTTATTTTAAGCAAAACCCAAAAATATACCAGAGAGTCACTTTTTTTTTTTTTCTGAATATTTAACCCTTTCGCTGCCAAGGACGTACGTCGTACGGAGCTACAAAAGTGCTTCCAGCTGGCCAGCTCAGTACGCCGTACGGACCTGGCATTTACAGTTCTACTATAAGCTGATGGTCGCTTTAGCGACCATCAGCTTATAGTAGAACTGTTCAGCAGACTGTCCCCTTTAAATTTATAGCTGTCATCAGCGGCTCACAAGCCGCTGATGACCGCTA